CTGGGCAGGCGACACCTGGTGTCCTGGGCACATTTTAAAGGAGGGTGTTGACGGTGTGGCGCACGTTCAAAGGAGGGTGCCCACAATGTGGGTGGGGGCTTTGGAAACAGAACCCCAAGAGGAATGGTTGAACAAGCTGGGCACCTATTGCCTGGAGAAGGGAAGCGTCCGTAGGAACAGGAGAGGGGTCTTCCAACATCCGAAGGGGCCACCATACATGAAGAAGACGGACCAGGCTTGCTCTCTCTTGCTCCAGAGGGCAGGACTAGTCTGACCAGCAAGTGGAAGCTGGAAGCTCCTCTTAAATCTTGCCACAACTCAGCTGCTTTTGCAGAAACGCCCCTTGAACCAATTCCTCCTCCCTTGCTTTCAATGCCTCCTGTTCTCACTGAGGGAGCAATTAATGCGAGGAAGGATCAGGAAGGCCAGCGCCTCCGGAGAAACAGCGCACCATGCTAATCCGGGGCCTTTTGCCCACGCCAGTCTCCAGGTCGGCTCCTTCTGAGCCTCTGACCTTCACAAATCCAGCTGGAGAAAGCAGAGAAGAGCAGGACTTGAGGACGTGCTGGTCACCTTCCTGGGGAGGGGGAGCAGGTGCCAGCAGTGTCAGACTAGGACCTGGGACACCAGGGTTCGAATCTCCAGGCAACCATGAAACTCACTTGACCTTGGGAGCCAGGCACTGCCTCTCTCTCAGCCTAGCCTACCTGCCAGGGTTGTTGTGGGGATTAAATGAGGAGCGGGAGAAAACCACATATGCAACCTTGGGCACCTTTGGAGAAAAGGTTAGGATATAAACACAATGAACAAGCGACGAGAAGCATGCCGGAAACAATACAGAAGGGCTCACACTGAGGGACTCTCCCCTCAGATGCATCTCACGTGTGGCCACGGGGCAAGAAGTGGGGCTTTGCTGGACCAGGGGGCTCTCGGGCTCCCCATTCCTTCTCCCAACCCCACCTGCAGGGAGCACAGCCCCTTCCCCAGCCCCTGCTTCACTGGCGGCGATGGCTCCGGTCACGGGCAAGACCGGGGAGAGACGGAGCCAACTTCTGGTGGCAAATCCCTCCATGTGTCCAACCTCAGGTCCCAGCACAGGAGAGGCTACTGCTGGCACGGCCTGTCGTTATTGATGTGCTAATTATAGGGCTGTGCTAATTCAATTTGCACATAATTACAGGATAGTGCACTGGGTGGCATGTTTCAATAATTAATGTGATAAAATAAATGTAATTGGAATAATATTTACAAAACCCTCTGAAGAGTCGCCTGCAAGGTGGATGCGGAGCTGTGGGGTGGGGAGCCGGAGCCTAGCGAGCGCAGGAAGAGGCTGCAGGATCAGGCCCATGGAACCCCACATCCTCTTCTGGCCACCCAGGAGCCGCAATGGGAAGGAGCCCACAAGCAGCACCTGAGGGCAACAGCCCAGCTCTGCCCACCTGGGCGAAAGCAAGGCCGCTTCCCAATAGTTTGGGTGATGCGGGTTCCTCCCCAGATAGATGTGGGGAGCAGGGCACTTTGGTGTTGCAGACTCCTGTCCCTTCTGCCCCTTTAAACGGGCAAGCAGCAAGGAGATGGCTGGCAGGCATTTCTAGACACAGGCGCCTTCTTCCACGGAAGCAGCAAAGATGGACCAAAGGGCACACGATTGCCCTGCAGCCTGTCCTAACCAAGGAGGGTGCTCACAGCTGCTAGGTCAGGCAGTGCCCCCCCAAAACCCCCCATGTGGTTGGAGCATCAGGGCCACCTGGGGTCAGGACCAAGACGGGAGAGACTCCCAAGAGGTCTGAACATATTGCTCCAGTTCCTGGTGCACCCCTGACTTGTGCTGGAATATAGGAAGGCGGCTTCAAAGGAGGAGGGAAGGAAGATGAAGGGGCCTTTTGCAGACGGGAGGCTTTTGCAGTCTGGGGCTGCCATGCCCCTTCATCCCAGGGAAAAGGAAAGAGCCTTCGCCCAGAGCAAGGCCACCTGGCATGTGCTGCACCCTGGGCTCTCCAAGGGAGGCCTCAAAAAGGACTGGCCCGGGAAGGAGGGATCCATCAGATCAGCACCAAGGACAGCAGCCCAGAGGAAAACTCAGCTCCCCCAACGCCCCACCTGGCCCTGAAAAGTAGCAGCAGTGACAGGCTTGATCACATTCACTCAGTGCTATACCAGTTGCACTGGCTCCCGGTGCAGGGCAGGGTCAGGTTTAAGGTGCTGGTTTTAACCACTAAAGCCCTATACGGCCCAGGACCCTCATACTTACGGGACCGCCTCTCCTGGTATGTCCGAAGAAGGACCTTACGGTCTACAAATAAAAACACCCTGAAGGTCCCAGGCCACAGGGAGGTTAGGCTGGCCTCAACCAGAGCCAGGGCTTTTTCGGCTGTGGCCCCGATCTGGTGGAACGCTCTGTCACAAGAGACCAGGGCCCTAAAGGACTTGACATCTTTCCGCAGGGCCTGCAAGACAGACCTGTTCCTCCAGGCCTCTCTCCTTCTGTAATCCTCCATTAATTTGATTCTGAATTGATTTTAGAATGAATTGATTTTAGAATGCATTTCAATTCATTGATTGTGATTTTATGTAAACTGTGTTACTTTTATTGTTTTTAGCTGCTCTGAGCCCGGCTTTGGCTGGGGAGGGCGGGATATAAATAAACTTCTTCTTCTTCTTCTTCTTCTTCTTCTTCTTCTTCTTCTTCTTCTTCTTCTTCTTCTTCTTCTTCTTCTTCTTATTATTATTATTATTATTATTATTCACCCTTCCTGCCCCCTTCAACCTGTGAGCTGCTTGGACGCCCTCTGCCCACCTGCTCCCTGTCCTTCACCCCAAGCTCCCAGAGCAGGTTACGATGTGAAAAACAGTTGGAAACAATTAGTTGCTGTTCTTTTCCAGGCGAGGCATGCCCCCCCTCCCCATTTTAATGACTTCCCATGGAATAATGTTTCACATCTGCCCAGACTGAATTTGCCAAGTACCGAAGGCAACCTGGAACTTAATCTCATCCTCCGAAGGGGCTGCGACTCCCCCCCCCCCGTGTTTCGCGCCAGCTGTGAGTCTGATGAGCCGCCTTCCCACGTCATTGACATGACGCCACGCTAAGGGACAGGAGCCCATTGCGCGTCACCCAACCTCACGCCCATTGATCCACGGATGATCGTTTCAGGAGTAAAATTTCTGCCGATCTCTGCTCCCGCCTGCCTGCCTGCCTGCGCTCCTGCAGATCCGGGCAAAGGCTGCAGCGACGTTGGAGCAAGCGAGGAGCCCCCCACCGCCCAGGGGCAAAAGGCACCCGCCCTCCCGCTGTTGTAACACGGCTGCTTCCATCATCAAAAAGGCCGGGGGTTGTGGCCTCGTAAGGTGCAACATAAACAGGATTTAAATCACCGCTTTTGTTCCAGGGCGGTTTGGGGCCTTTGCTCTCCGCACCGGCTCTCGCAGAGCACGCCTGCCGCCTCCACCCACTCAGCCATTCCTGACCAAACCCTGACCGCTTAGCCGAGTCGACATGGGTCCTTGGGGACCACGGAGCGCCGGCAGGAAGAGGCCCAAGCTTTGCAGAGGGCCGAGGCGCATCCCGGCCTCTGATAAATAATCCGAAGGCTGCCGGGGCAAGAGGGGGCGGCAGGAGGAGTCCCAGACGAGAGAGCTTTGCTCCAGCTCAGAGAGCAGGGAGACAATGCATGACAGATTGACCCACGGCGAGACACTGCAAGCAGTCAATTAAAGGCGAGGGCTGCATTGTGCAACGAGAGCCGGCTGGATTCTGCTTTGTAGCCAGTATTGGATTTCTCCCTCCTTCGCTCGCCCCCAGAGCAGCCCCCTTCCTTTTTGCTTCAGCCACTATTTCCTTTGAAAGGGAGGGCCGGGCACAGAGGATTATCGCATCAGGAGGAGGAGGGCAGAGCAGCCGTCCGCTGCGGGACCAGAGATCAGGGGCAGAGCACCTCCTTGGCCTCACCCTGCTAACGGCGTGCAGTTACAGCCGCCTCATCTCCAAAAGGACAATGTAGAGTTGGCTGCCCAAGTGATCAAGGGGGCAGAGCGAGGGAGAAAGGCAGCAGCGTCTGGAACCAGGAAAGGTGAGGAAGAGGCGATACGAGAGAAGTTTTTCAAACTACACACGGCACCAGAAGACACGGAGCTTCCATGAAGCTGAATGCTGGGAGACTCAGGACAGATAAAAGAACGCGGCACAATGTTAACCTGTGGAACTCCCTGCTGCAGGAGGCAGCGAAGGCCACCGACCCAGATGGCTTTACAAGAGGCAAACCCACAGAGGAGGAGGAAGAGGGGGTGTCAGTGGCTTCCAGGCAGGATGGCCAAGCTCTGCCTCCCGTCATGGGAGAAGAGGATGCTGGACTAGGTGGGCCATGGGCCTGATCCACGGGGCACTTCTCATGCTCTCAGGATGGAAAGGAGGACAAGGGCAGGAGAGGGCCTTGTGGAGGCCAAGGAAGAGCCAGCCCCCCTGCTGCTCTTTCCTCTGCCCCCCCAACCTGTGGCTCTTCACAACTTCCATCTATCTGGTCTGCGGAGTCAAAGTAGGCTTAGCCTTCTGGTAAAATTTGCCTGGTAAATGTCTACATTCTTAATCTCTAACCAATGGACAAGCTGATCACTAACAAGGAATGGATGCCAAACGCATATACAGTACTGGGCAAACTTGACAGTCTCAAAGTTGTCATTTGTGTATTTTGTGTGTTCTTTGGATTTTTCTGTTGTGAACTGCCCTGAGATCTAGGGATGGAGGGTGGTATACAAATTTAAATAACGGCAGCAGCAACAATAACTCTTAACCCCCAAACCCCACCCCATGGAGCAAAAAGAAAGCAGCCCCCCGCCATGACCCCCTGTGTCCTTGAGCAGAGGTGCCCCCCTGCCCTAGTGTACTTGCTTGACATGCCTCCCCCCCCCGAAATAAGAGCAGAACTCAGTGTGAGCGTCTGGGGGGGGGGAGAAGTGTGTTCCCCTCCCCTCCGTCTCTCCCACCCCCAAAAAGACACGGCCTCTTCCAGCTTCTCACTACTTTTATTGGCTTCCAAAGCGTCACGCAGACACCCCCCCTGCTGCTGCTGGAGGAGGAGGGTGGGGAGGGGGCAGGCTTGGCTGGGGGGGGGGAGACCCCAGGACTCCCTCCGCAGGCCGGCACTGCCAAGTCTGTCTGCTCCTGGAGTCGGACGAAGCCCGCCCCCTCTCGCCCGCCGGGTGGGCACTGGGCTCCAGAGGCAGGGCGGCGCTTGGGGTTCAGGAAGGGGGGGCGTGGCGGGGGCCGCGAGGGGCCAGCGGGATTGTCGCTTAGCGGCTGTAGCCAAACTCGTCGGCGTCGTCAGCGCGGAAGTCTCCGTAGCGCCACAAGTTCAGCTGTGGGGAGGGCAGAGAGGGGAGGGTGAGATCTGAGCGGCAGCCAGGGACCCCTCCCAAGACCCCCTCCGTGGGGGCCGCTTGCCCCACCGGCCCCCCTGCCCGGAGGCCGCTGCTCGCTGACTTACCCGGGCACTTTTGGCTGCCTCCTGGGCATTCAGGTACTCTGTGATCTGGAGGGAAGAGGAGGAATCAGAGCAAGCCCCCTCTGTCCTTTCCCCTGCCCCCTTGCTCAGCCCCCCACCCGCCCCACTTCCCGGGCGGACCTGCCGCCGCCACTCACCACTTTCTGGAACTGCTTCTCCTTGCGCGGTTCCACCATCACCAGCCCCTCCTTCACCAGCCCCAGCCCCACGTCGCCCTTGGAGTCGGCAAACTGCAGGGTGACGTGGGGGCAGCTGGGCCCGGGGTGCTCCACGTTCAGCAGGCACTGGGTGTTCTGGATGTCGCGCACCACGCTGTCCACGGCGTCTGCCCTGGCCTCCTCCTGCGGGGAGAGGAAGGGGGCCACACTCAGTCAGAGGGGAGCCTGGAACCCGCCCTCCAGAGCGGGACAGAACAAACTGGCGGAGGCAGCTCCTGAGCACCCTCATCGCTCAGCCCGTACACCAGGGTCCCGCTCCCAGGGCCTTCTCGAGGTTCCCTCCCTGAGAGAAGTGAGGTTACAGGAAAGCAGGCAGAGGGCCTTCTCAGTGGTGGCGCCCGCCCTGCGGAACGCCCTCCCACCAGATGTCAAGGAGATAAACAACTACAGTCATACCTCGGGTTACAGATGCTTCGGGTTGCATTTTTTTGGGTTGCGGACTGCTGAAATCTAGAAGTACCGGAACGGGTTACTTCCGGGTTTCGTGGTCGCGCATGCGCAGACGCACCGAATCACAACCTGCACATGTGCAGACGTGGGTTGCGAACGCTGCGGGTTGCGAATGTGCATCCCACACGGATCACGTTCGCAACCCGAGCATCCACTGTATCTGACTTTTAGGAGACATCTGAAGGCAGCCCTTTTTAGGGAAGCTTTTAATGTTTGATCTGTTATTGTGTTTTTAATTTTCTGTTGGGAAACCCAGCCAGATGGGTGGGGTATAAATAATAATAATAATAATAATAATAATAATAATAATAATAATAATAATGATGATGATGATGGCAGCCTCTCAACATGGGAGAGACACTAACAGGCGTCCACCGGGCCCCTCTTCTCTGCGTAAATGGGCCATTCCTTCTCCAAAGCCCCCGGAACTGGCTGCCACCACCATATTCTGAGTCACTTCCTTTCTGGGGGAAGACGGAACATATTTCGTCTCTCCTGTGCTTACAGCCCAACCGCCGCGCTGGGGGCACCTGCATTTCCTGAGAGTTTGAGAAGCAAGCAGAGAACCAGCCTTTCTGCAGCACTGAGGACCCACCGCCCTTGGGCTTCCTCCCCCAGACCCTCCAGCTGCCCCTTCCGGCTGTGTCCTCCGGTCCACCTCTTCCAGGTGGCAAATGAGGGGCAGGCTTGTTAGAATTCCTGCTCCGTGGTTGCAGTCATGGGATTGTTGTCTATCACATGACGATATATGTTTTGACTCCACAGAGTGGGAAGTGACGGAGACAGGATGTTTGTGTTCCTGTGTTCTGTGAAGTGGGACTATTGTCATTTCCCCCCCTCTTTGCTGTCTGATGCTAGAGAGAGAGGGAGCCATGTTGCAGTGCTCTCTGTGTGTTTATATGTAAATAAAGTAGATTAGCCAAAATGCTGAGTAGCTGAGGTCTGTCACGCAAGTTGCGCAAACTCTGCGGATCCCTAAGTGTGCCGGTGTCGGTTGGCATCAGTCGCTGTGATGTTCAGGCAGAAGAAAGCTTTTGAAGCTCCCGAACGAATGACCAGGAGGAAGAGAACATGCCAGTCAGGCAGGTGTGTCTGCCAGGGTCCTACTCGAGAGTAGGACAATCTCCTGACACAGCTCAGGGGCAGGAGGGTACAACTTAACCCGCAACCTCCCCCTGGCCTCCCCCTAATGTGCCTTCTGCCCCCCAGGCCCCCATCCCCGGCCAGGACTCACATCTTGGGGGACTTGGATGAAAGCAAACTTGTACTCGGCGGCCTGAGCAGGGAGGATGCGGGTGCTGAAGGCGGCTGGCAGGGTGGCCAGGCGGGTGGAGGGAAGAGTCTCCTTCTGCAGAGGGGGGAGAAAAGGCAGCTCGGTCACCCCCTGGCGCAGTTCCTATCTCGCCCGGGGTTCGCAGATCTCAGGACAACGGGAAAAGGAAGTTTGTTTTTCACAGCAGACACACCAAATGCAGCAATGAAATATGAAAACTGGTCAAAACCATCAGTTCCCTTTGCCCTGTGGACCAGGCACACCGCCCACCAAACTGGCAAAGGACACTCCTTGTCTCTTGGGAAGCTGGCGCCCGCCACATTTCCAGGGGGGAGGCACCCCAACACCAGCACATGCTATCCCTGAAAAGCTCCCCCCAGCAGCCTCCTCCGTACATCTCCAGCAGGCAGGCTCTCCGTTACCTGTCCTAAGTCCACTCCCCCCCCCAAGTTTTTATTTATACTTTTCACGTTTATACATTTCATTAGTTTTACAATCATTTCAACATTTCAAAGCTTGACTTCCTTCCTCCTCTTTCTGCGGTTCCTTAAATTTACAGTGGTGCCTCGCAAGACGAAATTAATCCGTTCCGCGAGTCTCTTCGTCTTGCGGTTTTTTCGTCTAGCGAAGCAAGCCCATTAGCGGCTTAGCGGCTATTAATGGCTTAGCGGCTTTAAAAAAAAGGAAACAAACTCGCAAGAACTCGCAAGACGTTTCGTCTTGCGAAGCAAGCCCATAGGGAAATTCGTCTTGCGGAATGACTCAAAAAACGGAAAACCCTTTCGTCTAGCGGGTTTTTCGTCTTGCGAGGCATTCGTCTTGCGGGGCACCACTGTATTTTTAAGTATCTTTTGCATATCCAAATCCATTTACTGTAGTTTTCTGTCTATGGGACACCCCCATGTATAGGACGATCCCTATTTTGGGGGATTTAAGAAAATGGGGGGAGAGGGCACAGAGTTGCCGAGCTTTTTAGGGGCTGGAATTGCCAAAAAATCGCTCACCAGCCACTAACAATCGCACGCCTTGCCCAAGACTGCCAACCAACCACGCTATTGCTGCAGAGTCAGCCAATCACAAACAGCCCTTCACACGGCCACCAATCACCTGCCCAGTTGCCACAGAAAATCTCCTGCTTACGCCTGCAGCCAATCGCCCGCTCTGCACTACCCATGTGTAAGATGGGGGCATATTTTAAAGATATTTTAAAAATAAAAAACCCTAGTCTTATACACAGAAAAATGCGGTAATTTGCTCATTCAATTTATCAACTTTAAATATATACTTGCAAACAGATAAAAACATTGGCAGGGTTATGGTAACAACCTGCAGTTTCATAAGAGGTCCTGTTCTAAGTCCTATAGGGCTGAACATGTCGAACCCTTGGACTCGGGCGCAATGCAAATGCTTCAGGATCGAGGCCACCCAGCCCCTGGGGGCACCTCCCAGTCTCCAAGGGCAGCCCCATGTACAGCGCATTGTAGCAGTCCGGATGGGAAGTTGCTGCAGTGGGGCCAAGCTGCCCAGGAAGAGCCGCAGGGAAGTCCTTGCCGCAGAAGACACTTTGGGCTCCCGCAACAAGGTGGGGCTCAGCAGCCCCCACAGATTACGGACCAGGCCTTTCGGGGGGAGGGCTACCAGTCCAGAGGAGGCCTTGCCCCCCCCAAAGCAGCTCTGGGGCTGCTGAGGCCTCCAGGGCCCCCCGGGATCCCCCCCCCCACTCACGTTTCCATAGTCGATGTAGAAGACATGCACTTTGGCTGAAGACTCCACCTTTTCCACCCGGGCGCGGTACCTGTAAGGGAGGGGGGAATAAGCTTGAGACCCCACACTTTCCAGCCAGTGCCACCCCTGGCACTTGTTGCAAGGCGGGTGGGGCGGGCTGCCCTGAAAATGAGAAATCTGCTCTGAGGTTCTCCCTTGCCAAAATCTCCATCCTTACAGGCAGCCTCCCTGGCTGCCGGCACCTCCCAGAATGGCCAAGGGAGGAGGTCATGGCCAATCATCCCCCTGCCCCGGCTGGCACCCAGGGAGGCTGCCTTGCAAATCTTAGGGGCTAAGCTGGAGGGACCCTGAGTCCTGAGGGCGGCATCCCACACAAGGCAGCTCCCGAGGGTCCCGCACCCGTGCCCCTTCCTCAACGCAGCCCCTCCCCGCACTCACCACTCTCCGTCGACAAACTTGGCAATGCAGTAGTCTCCGCGGCGGGGGGAGTAGGAGCCCTCCACGGGGGGGTGGGCAGCAATCTCGCTCCGCATGGTCTCCATCAGCTTCTCTAGCTGGGTCCCTAAAACAAGGGGGGGGTGTAAATGAGAGACTCAGGGCCTGCAGGAAGCTATCAGTAGCTGCTCCAGGGCACCCCTTCTCCCCAAACGCCATGGGGCAGAATGGGGCAGGCAAAGCTTTGCTTGGGTCAGTTGCACTGAGCTCATCTTTGATGAACACCTAGACTAAGGCAGGCCTCCACCCCGAGAGCTTGGGGGCACCCAAGGGCCCCACCTCCCCCAGCTCCGTATCCCCATTCAGGAAGGGGGGAAGGTATGGGGGCTGCAGAGGCGAGGCTTGGACATCGGAAGGAGCAGCAGAAGAACAGCCCCTCTTTCTTGCTTAGCACATACAAGCCCTCTGGATCGGGTCCCTGGGTCTGTCCTGCAAACATTCTGGCAGAGCGTCAATCAAACCGAGGAGCTTCCAGCCCCCCCCCCGGCCTTGCCCCCTTACCTGTCTCCACATCCTGCACATAGAAGTGGAGGTCATCTGTGATCTCCGTGACAAAGACGGGCTTGTAGTTGGCCGTGCGCTCCTTCTCCTCGGGGACCAGGACCACGTCCTCCACGGGGGCCTCTTCGTAGTGCGACCACACCTGGGGGGGACGAGGAGGAGGATGGAGCCAGAGGTCACAGGAGCCAGAGAGGTCCGGTGTGCAAGGAAGGACCGGGGGAAACCATAGCCTAGTAATGATCTGTGGCCAGGAAGGGGAAATGGAGACTGCAGAGGACCAGGAGGGGCACCGGAGAGGTGATTTTGGAGGCAGGGAAGCAGCCACAGCCCCTCCAGCAAGGCCACGCTCCAGCTGATAGGAGCGCAGAAACCCGCATCTCTTAGTTTGAGGGGAGGCAGACAGCCGAGAAGGAGCCCCTGGCCCCCCAACCAGCACCCTGTGCCGAAGAGAGCCCCACACAGAAAGCTTTCTGGGCAGGCTCAGAGCTCCCAGCCCTGGCTGCCTGAAGAGGAGGAGGAGACAGGCAGGCACACACCCCCGCCCCCCCCCCCGTGCCAGGTGGCAGCCTCACCCGGGCCCCTGCGCAACAGGAGCATAGAATGGCTGCGCTGATGCAAAGAGACAGGCTGTCAAGTCCGATCGAGTCGCCGGGTGGGCGGCCGAGCAGGGGGAGCTGTGACAGGCAAGGCAGCCGGGCTGTGGAAGGGAGCCCACACGACGCCGTCCCCCCCTCTCCCTCTCTGCCGCTCAATTTACACCTCCACACACCAGAGAGAGGAGCAGGACGAGGTCAGCGGCAGGAGACAGCTTTGCTCTGGGGCTGCCACCCTGGGAAGCCTCTCTCTCTGCCCCAAATGCAGATCTCGGCCCTGCCAAAGGCACAGACCCACTCAACCATCCTGGCAGAGAAGGTGGCGCAGGGATGGTGCTGGGAGTGCAGAAGGACTCCTCTTCAAACCCAAGGAGCTCAAGCGCCACGGCCACAAAACGCTCACCAGCCACGTTCCCAGGGATGCCACGGAAAGAGAAACGGAACCAGCCAAAAATGGGCACCCAGGGAGCTGCAGCCAAGAGAGGAGGGGAGCAGGACCCTTGGCCACAGCAGCCCAAGCCGGGTCCCCTCGGCCCGAGGTGGGCTGAGGATGGAGAGAGGCCCGGGACTGGCATGCCAATGGCAGGGGCTCCAGAACAGCCTGTCCAGGAGGGACTCTGGTGTCCGGCCCTGGCCGATGACACAGCGCTGAGCCTCGCATGCTCTCGAGCTGCCAGGGGAAGGACCAGGGTGCAGGCACCATAGTGCGGCCGGCTGCAAGGGAGCTGAGATCTACCTGGGGGCCGAGAAGAGTCCAGTCGACAGCCGGGCGTGAAGAAGCGCAGGCAAGGGCCAGGCTGATTGGAGGGGAGGGGCCGTGGAGGGAGGGGGCGGGCAAAGGCAGCCGCCTCTTCCAATCCCGCGGCTCAGTCCGGCCATGCTGTGTGGGCCCCCCCTCGCAAGAAGCAGGCCCACACCTTCGCACACGATTTCCGCGCCAGCGACACAAATCACGCAGGACGTGCCTGCTTCCCTGGAGGCGTCCAAACAGCCTCTGATTTAATTAATGGAAGAGTGAAGTCAAACGGTGCTGGGAGCCCTCCGGGGGCCGGTGCTTCTGGGGCGAGACTCTCCCGCCGGAACGGGCTCCATTAAGGCAGGGGGAGCAAGTGCCCCCCCCGGCTCCCAGGACGCTTCCGTGCCTGATTAGGTTCTCCCCAAACTGCTTGGCAGTTCACGAGGCAGGACTTAGAAGAGACAAGCAGTGACAAGATGGGCCCGTCCTCCCCCCAGAAGCTCCTTTACTGAGCCTCCTCCTGCCCTTGGGGCAGAAGAGAGCAAGCGCGTCCTGGAAGTGGGGCTGCCCCAGAGGAGTGCGGACGCTTCACGTCCTCTGCTCCCGAGGACTGACAAGGGGCCTTTGCGGGCATTTGTCAGTGCCAGGCTGGAGCCATTTGCATACGCGGATGGCCCCCAAAGGCTGCTCGGCCGTCCAGCACACTGGCAGAGTCCCGGGGAGGCTGGTGGGAAGCAGCCCCTCCTCACAGGCTCAGGCACGGCTCCCCAAGGGGCAAGGAAATCTGCCGCAGACATTCTGGATTGTCGGCTGACGAACCAAAGTGGGGAGGAGGGAGAAGAGATGGAGGAAGCTCAAGAGGTCTCCTCTCCTAAGTCGTCAGGATGCCATCCCTGCAGGTGAATCAGGGATGGAGAGGCCCACCTTCTCCCCCCTCCCCAAAACCCTCCAGCTCCTCGGATCGGGAAAAGGCCTTGTGCCTCCAGGAGGGGAGGGCAGGGGCAAAGCGCTCCCATTCTCCCCACGTTCCGAGGCGGCGGCAAGACAGGAGAAAGAGCAAGGCAAGTTGTTAATTGGCAATTAAACACTGAGGGCAGGCAGCCCTGGCTCAGGTGGGGATTCCTCTGCGCTGCCTGGCGGGGCTGAGGCTGGCAGGCGTGGGCCTGGCAATGGGGCAAAGGGCACCCGGCCCGCATCCGGCCAACGGCAACCCAAACGTGGTCAGCTGGCGGGGAGAGTGGAAGGGGCCTGGCTGAGAGGGGAGCGTTGGACCAAGCGATGCTGGGGAGCCACACCCAGGCGTGCCCCTTCGTGGACCAGAAAGAGGACCCCCCCCGCCTCCCGCCCTCCTTCCCAGCTGGCGGGTACCTTCTCCTTCTTCTGCTTGGCGGCCTCCTCTGCAGCCACCAGGGGCTTGTAGTAGTTGCTGCGTTCCGCCGTGAAGTGCACCTTGGACAGTGCTTGCTCCACCAAGGCCACCGACAGGTTGACGCCGTCAATGTGCAGCCAGCCGATGAAGTTCCCGGCTTTGTCCATGCTCTCCACCTCTACCTCCACCTGCAGGAGACACAAAATGGGCAGAAAACCGTCAGTGGGCACGTGGAAGGGCGCCCGGCGGGTGAGAGGGACACGCCTCCAGAGAGGACTGCAAACTCAGACCTTTCCAGCCTAGGGTCACACCAAGATTCGGCCACCTGCACCCGCAGATTGAGGTGCCGCAAAGTGCCATCCTGCTAAACACACTTTGCCAGGCGGCTCGCTCCGACACCGAAAAGCACCTCCCCAGCAATACCCTCCACCCTGCGTGGGACCCAGGGGCGTGGGGAGACTTGGGTGGTGGAAATAAAGCTCTCTCTCACACACTCACAATCTGCCTGGGGCAACGGCACTTGAACAAATTCAAAATCAATCTGCTCTCCGATCCCAGGGATCAAGCAGCACATGACTTTGCTTCAGGGACTGCCCTTGTCAGGCGCACAGCACAGAAATCAATCCTCGCTCAGGACACAACGAGCGACAGTCAAACGCCAGGGACGCGGGGCCTCAACGTCACCACAGCGTCACCAACCCCTGCCCCCCTCCAGGACACGGATTGCTGGCAAGAGGGCCACAAACCCCGGTGGTGGCAGAAGCAGAGCCCCAGAGCTCAGACTGCCCAGGGACAGCTCCGGGGGGCTTCTCCCAGCAGCCTGCACCCCCAAATCTCCCTTGATACTCCTGGGCTCAGTTTGGGAACGGAGCTTGCATGACCTCCTGCCATTCGAGCGAGGCGTTCTCCTTGCTGGGAGCTGGACCATAACCTTCTGGGGTGACCTTTGGCCAACCATGCCTCTTGGCCCAGCCTGCCCCACAGGAGAAAGCCGGGGGGGGGAGGGGAGAGATACAGCCCCCCAAATCACCCTGGAGGGCAGGTGCGGTAAAAATGGAATGAACATATACATTTCTTGGCTAAACTGCAGGACTGTAGACCTCTCCCATTCAAAAAGCAGGCCAAGATGTAGACACATTTTTCCAAAGCAGATGGGGCTCTTCCGGCACCAGTTGAGGGCAGCTCCCTGGTACCCGAGGAAGGAGCCCAGGGTGGCAGTGCCCAGCTTCTGCTCCTGCCTATCCAGTCCCTCTGGCCGTGCTGCCTTTCCATGCCAGCCCCCCCCCAGCCGCAGAGCCAAGGGGGCCTCTGCCTTGGAGGCGGCTGCGCTAGGATGAAGCTGGCCCCTGCTCCAATGCCATAAAACTCCGCCCTCACGACTACAAACACTTGTATTCATTTAAGCTGCTTCAAGCTCGATTAAGCAATAAAATGGATGTCTAAATATCCAGGAATTTGATGAGGTTTGCAGACAAGGGCGCAAGTGCAGCGCTGGCCAGGGGAGAAGGCAAGCCGGCTCCTCTGCCCCACTGGGAGCCGGGCCCAGGGACCGAGGGCAAGGGGGCAGGCTCCAGGACCCTCCGCAGGGCGCACCGGGCAGGCCCCAAAGGAAGCCACGGGGGCGCAATGGTGCAGGGGCCCCCACCTCTCTCTGCGCCTGCCGGGGCAGTGCCAAAGAGCTCCCCTCTGCAGGTATGCAAGGGCCACTGCAGAAGGGCAGGTTGGAGACTGCACGGAAGGGGTCAGGCAGTGCTGTCACCCCCTGGCCAGCACACCAGGAAGGGGGTCTCCCAAGCCTCCCACATCTGGGTGTGGGTGAGAGGGAAGGAGCCAGGAAGAGACACTTAAGAGACACTTGGAAATGTTGGCTGCTGGCTTCTCTTTCTCTCTCTGCACCCCCCCCCCAACCCCACCAGCAATTGCTTTCCTTGCAAACATTCTGCAGCCCCGCTGGGGAGTAGGAGAAGAGCCTTGCTTTTTCCACAGGAAAGGTCTCAAAGTGACTTTGCAAGAGAAAATACTACCAGTCACAGCGGCTGCCTATTGCTGCCGTCTCCTGTACCAGAGGCAGAAGACCAGTTGCTGCTGAAGATGAGTGGCCTGCGATGGAGGCGCTCCTGTGCGCCCTCCACCTGGGGGGGGGGCACAGGGTGTGGGATGAGACCAAGGCCTCTGGCCTGATCCAGCAGCAGCAGCAGCAGGGTTCTGGGCAAGTTTCTTGAGCACCAGCCTTTCCTGGGCCTCACCTAGGAAGAGGGTCTGCCCAGGAGCTTCCTTCTCCCCTGGGCTAAACAGGTAGCCTCCTCTGAACTGGGTCCCCCCCCCATTAAGTCCTGTCTAGGAGAAGCAGCAACTGCTTCTGTAATACGGGGAGACAAAGCACATGAATGAAATATGCAAAGGAAAACATCAGACACTCCAGCCACTTTCCGAGCAGATTAGCATTTGCCCGCCATTCATAATGGATCTGCCCGTAATTAGCAAGAAGCAAATGGTGCGAGAGGAACAGGCAGCTCTGCGCGGTGGGAGAAGGAGAAGCAGCCGGCCCGGCCCCAAATGCCCCCACATGCAGCCCGGGCAGAGGGGCACCTCTGGAAGCTCTGGAAGCTTCCTGGGCACCTGGGAGGCGGGCGCTGCCAGGTTGAGCAGGGAGAGGGGGAAGCTTGGGGGGGGGGCTCCCACGCGACCGTCTTCTCATCCAGGTGGCAAAAGGATGTATGATTCTGCTCGCCTGGAGTCAGGGGGCAGCCCCAGCGCCCTCACCTCTGTTGGGCCGGCAGTACCTGCCCAGGAGGCACGCGCCCTGCAGGGCTGGCCTGGCCATTTGCAGAGATCCAATCTGGGGGAGGCAACTACAGTAGGATTCCTCACCCCAAGACCAAGACAAGAGGCAGAACAAATCACTCCAGGTGAGCCCTGCAAGCGAGCCATCCTGCCTGGCTCCGCCAAAGGGGCAGGCCAAGAGGAAACCGAAGCCAAATAAATATCAGGGTGAAAAATTCCCTCTCTTTCTTTTGGCAGGAAGATAAGAGGTGTCTGTTTGGGGGGGAGCCCAGCTGCTGAGCAGAGAGAACCCAGCGAGCAAAACCTGGGCCTGCTTCCCCTGTGAGCCTGAATGAAAGCAGCTCAGGACTCGAACCCTGCCCTGGGTGTCTGGCCAAGGGCGGCCAGGGCCAAGGGAGGGTGCCCCCGGGGGGGGGGTGAGGCGACGACAAGGAGCTGCCTGGTCAGCTGGCCTGGAGAGGAAAGCAGCAGACCAAGTCCTGGGGCTTCAAACCATGAGCGCAACCTGCCTAAAGGCTGGGCAGGATGCTCTCATGTCCTCTGTGGGGAACACCCAGAGGCAATCAGCCCAAGTCAGCTGGGCCTTTTGGGAGGCCTGGAGGAGTCCCGCAGAAGGTGGCCCCAATCCCCCAGTGAACAGGCTCCAAGCCCAGGAGGTGCTGCTGGGGAGAAGAGATTCTCAGGCCCTTCTCCTCACCCCCCCCGCCCCCATGCACAGAGGAGGACGAAGGCCAATGGCCAAGGAAGCCTGTGGCTCGCCCTGGCCTGTGGGCACTTCCCACCCGGCCCCACGGATCCTGGACGCCCACGGCTGCAGCTGCCTCCCCGCCTTCCAGCTCCTCTCGCCGTTTAGGCTTTACTCAGTTGTGAAAAGGCTTTTGATGCATAAAGCGAAGCACTTAGCAGAGAAGCAGGTTTTTAAACTGCTGCACGGGGAGGAGGCGGGAGGGGGAAAGGAGCGGCAACAGCAGGAGGCAGCCTGGAGGGGCTTCAGAGCCCACCCTCTCCAAGGAACACCCCCCACCGGGATCTCCCACCTCTCCCTTTGCACCCAGAGGGGAGGCTGCCCACTGCGTCCCTCCCCTTGCCATGAGTGGGGAGGGAACAGGGGCTGGGCGCTCCCAGGGCTTCGAGTGGCCTCTTGAAAAATTCAAGTGTTCTCTGCTTCCCGAAGGCAAGCCGGGGGAGATCCACTGCGGCGCAGCGCAAGCAGATCATCGTTTTGCAACACGAACCACTCAAGTACGGGCTCACCCAAAGGAATCTCTTGAGTTCATGAGAAGTTCTGCCTCGGAAACAACAAACAAATGTTCAAAGCACGAGGCTCCAAAGAGAAATCGGGACCACACACAAGTCATACAGTAAGATCTCTGGCAGACAGACTGGCGACAGGTGACTCCTTCCCCATAACTGAACTCCCATGCTAGAAAAGGTTTACAGTGGTGCCTCGCAAGACGAAATTAATTCGTTCCGCAAGTCTCTTCGTCTTGCGAGTTTTTCGTCTTGCGATGCACGGTTTCCCATAGGAATGCATTGAAAATCAATTAATGCGTTCCTAGGGAAACCGACTTCAGACCAGGTCCGGGGACATTCTGTCCCCCGACCTCTTCTGAAGGCTGGGGGGGGGGGACAAGGGCTTTTCTTCCCACCCCCAGCATTTTAAAAAACCCCGGGACAGCGGAGGGCTTCTCCGCTGTCCGGGGCGATCTTAAAATGCTGGCGGACGGCATTTTAAAATCGCCCCGGACAGCGGAGGACTTCTCCGCTGTCCGGGGCGATTTAAAAGCCCCTGGGAAGGCAGGCAGGGGGGACAAAGACTTTCGCCCCCCGCCCGCCTTCAGAAGGTGTTCCCGCCCCCCCCCCGCCCGGCTTCGCAGCAGCGCTACGAAGCCCGGCGGCTGGGGCAGGTGTTCCCGCCCCCCCCGCTTCGGAGCAGCGTTCGGAAGCCGGGTGGCTGGGGCAGGTGTTCCCGCCCCCCACCCCGCTTCAGAGCAGCGTTCGGAAGCCGGGCGGCTGGGGCAGGTGTTCCCGCCCCCCCACCCCGCTTCGGAGCACCGGGAGAAGCGATCTCCCTGCCGCCCCTTGCTTCAAAAGAGAAGACCCGCTGTCCCCGGGGCAAGCTTCGTTTTGCGAAGCAAGCCCATAGGGAAATTCGTCTTGCGAGGCAACTCGAAAACGAAAAAACCTTTCGTTTTGCGAGTTTTTCGTCTCGCGAGGCGTTCGTCTTGCGGGGTACCACTGTACTCTGTTTCCTTTGCACCGGCCGTAATCTGGAGGCCAGCTCTGCTCTCCTGCCGCCTGGGGCAAGGCGGGGGGCCCTGCAGGTGGCTCTGAGCTCCCCCCTTGTTGTGAAAATGCTGTTCCTCCGCAGGCCTTGAGGGCCTGGCCTCTCCCATCCAGCCCT